CAGACAATGGACTCCAGACTAGGTGCGTTCCTCTAAGTCTTCCTACCAATATGACTAAGTTGGAGAAAACAAGGTCAAACAACTTCTATAATCTAATATAATTTGTTCGACTTCATCAACTTGGCCTTTCACTTTGTCTAGTTGTAGCCTAATGCTACGGAAGTTGGCTCTTGTGAATACGAGTGAAACTTCTAGATATGAACACTGTCTATAGTCTGATGTTGAAAAAATACATGAGAATAATGGGAGACGATATGTATATATTGGCTATAAAGTTGAATATACACATAGGGTAATTGCTCACATATACACAGGAGACAATAATGCATATCTGAGCATTAGAGGATCGTGCGCTAGTTTATTTGTGCAAGTAAATGGCTGACATTGTATCCACTTCGCGTTCATTAATTAACTGCATTTATCTGAAAGCGTGTAGGTTAAATTTGATGTAGATAAATCATAGAATGTCTTATTACAATTGCAATTGGCTACATTCTCCCTTGGTTTGGTATATTGGTGTGCTAATTCTCAAAGTATGCATTCTTGCACCGATGATGTTTGTCAAGATGCAGATGAGAGCTGAGCGCAGAATCGTCGGGGTCGCAGAAAGATGAGCCTATGACTTCTCTGCGTAATCCTCATTCGGTTTCTGTTAAGACCATTTCACGAATTCCTCACAAGCAACTTATCCTTCGAAATGAAGTCCAACTATGTTGATATGACGTAAAGCTGGGTTTCGGATATCGTAAATTAATCTTGTGGGGAGCCGAAAGACTATTTCCCTGGAATTTACTGTAAGCCTGTTTTTTAGTGAATACTTGACAATTGTTCGAAAATTTACCATAAGATTTTTGCTGACAACCATTTACGTACAGACCAGCAAACTTTTCCTAAATCTAGTCTATTTTGGGCCCTCTTTATTTAATAAGCATTCTCATTTAAAATTAGCATGGGACGAAGTCGTTTTTATACATTGCTCCATTGTACACTATATTTGCAATCCTCCCTCTATTTTCCCATGCTATTTACGATCATTAATTGAAAAAAATGACTCTTCGATTGATAAACCGTATGCACATTTAATGCTTTTTTCACTCTTAATGCACACGTCCATGAGGACTAATTCACCATTTTTAATACTCTTGTTCCGCTTATACCTAAGCCTAGTTGTCCATAGTTTTCCTATTTGATCTAATTACCATTTTCGCCCTTACTGTTATTTTCTTTAACTACGCCTATAATTGAATCATGCTTTTATTTTGCTTTTGCAATTTCTCCAGCTCCAAATCAGAACGTCGTTACGTTGTTATTGGCAACCAACAAATTGTGCTTATCGAGCCTGATTCAAAAGAGTTTGGCTGTGGTGTAGTCACTTTCGCCGGTCTTCTGCAGGTACCTAAACAAATTAATAAAGTGATATCCATTCCTAAATCGTCATGAGCAAGTATGAAGTGAAGCATCGGGTCAAACGATAGCAGAACCATAGTTCCCCATTTTCCACTAATTTTTATTTTGTTTCCTTGTAGGATGTGGAGGTACATTGTGACATCGTCGATAGCCGATGCCTTTACATCATTGTTCTCTACCCAGGCCAACTAGGAACTCATTTCTTATCAAGTAGTCGCACAAGCCCCAGTTCCTCAGACCGAGCCGGCTCGAATCACTCTGACATGTGCCATGGATTTTATCCGAAGCAGCCTCCTTTCGCGCAGATACCTCCTACTCAGCATATGCTTGGCTCGGCTTTCTCTGAATCTATTTTTGGTGGATCAGAACAGTTAACCAAAGCAGTACACCAACAGCGTCAACAGCACCATCATCACATCTCGGCTTTGCAACCGGACAACTTAATGAAGACTGGCAAGCCTCCTTTGATAGGTGGGCGTGTACCTCTCTTGTGTGCAAAATTCATGTTCGAGGACCATATTCGATGCATGGCTGCAAATAAACAACTAATTCGCGGCCGGGAAAATGTAAGACGCAGAAAACTAGCCAAAATAGCCCGGTAGGTGGTTTCCCTTGCATCTAAGCTCTACTTCAAAATATGCATTATCGATTCAGCCTATGCCTAGTTTTTCATCATCTTATTTCACCTGCAAGCTATCACCATTCTTTTTTCTTTACTCTGCTGTCCATCCAGTCCAATTTCTCTGGATATTGTTTGGAATCTTAGCACCTTTTTCTCGCTTCTACACTTACATTTCGCTTCTTATGCTGTCCCGGTAAATCAGACTCCTGGACTTTCCCGATGACGTTGTCCATGACATCTACCCAGAAGAATTTGCACTCGGAGTAAAGTTACCAGTAACTGAAATCAAAACCTCTTCTGTCGCACCTGCGTTTCTTTCTCATCAGGCGCCGACCACTTCCGATCACTTGTTGATATCCAATCCTCTGATCTTGTCAGGCCACAATGCCCTCGAGACTCTATCTAGTGAGAAGTCACATGGCCCACCTACAGCTCTTTTTCTTCCGCCTCACAAACTGACAGATCCTACTCCAGCTAAAATATTTGGCTGCTCAACCTCTACTGCATCAGCTGGGAAGGATGAAACAATGGTACATCCACTGGCCAATGACCTTGCCATCAATTGGCAATTGCCGGTCTCATCTGCACCTTCTAGAGACAGCACAATTAGCAATTTGCTGGCCAGCATCCGTTTTGATGGGGATTCCGATCAGGTGGGGAAAATATTCGGCCTGAACCGTTTTGCTATTAGTTGCTTTTATCTTTTTACTCTGAGATAATGTCAATGCATTCCTAATTCAAGCCTTTTCCTTTTTTCGAACCCAGGATTTTTCAGCTCTCATATTTTTATTTTGGCGTTTCATATTAATTCGCTGGTTGCAGCTTATAGACTTTTTGGAAAGAGGCTGAATTAACATCAGCTCTACTTTTATACCGGTGTTCATTTACATGAAAGTACTTCATTTTTACCCAGGATAAGCTATCTTTCCAAACTACCCAGCTCGGCGTTCTAATTGACAGCTCACGATATAATAGATTTGCAGCAATCAAATACTATGTACCATAACTGACTAGAAGCCTGCATTATTCGAAGGTCTTGCCCTCACCCTATCACACTTATTAAGGCGCAGTTCTGCATTCATTTAATGTATTTAGGCTTTCATAATTCAATATCAACAAGCTATCTGATCTTCAATTTCGCATCAAATTCTCGATAACCTCTAGTCAAATATTTAATCGGATTTCCTGCATCTTTATCTTTTATCATATAAGCCACAAGGGCTGTGGAAAAGTCTACCAACCAAGGATATAAATCCTGGTTGGGATCTTGACTAGGATGATCCAGTGAAATAAATTCAGAGAGTATTTGAATCTTAACTTTGCATATATCTTATTTAACTGAATCTAAGCTCCAACATGTGCGAAGATTTTTGGCCAAGTGTTTGGCTTTCCCCATACTGATCTTATATGAGTAGTAACATTAAAGGTATGATCAATTTCTGACTTAGTCGCAGTAGAGACCAAACTAGGTTATCTTGAAGTAGGTTGACCTCGTTGTCGCAACTTGATCTTGTTCTCTGGGAAATCTAGTAGAACGCACCTAGTCCGAAGTCCTCTGCCATAATTCCCAGCATCAGACATTCTCAGAGGCTTCGCTGGCATCACCGTCAGCATCATTAGTGGGCACCAAGACAAACTCGTCAAGGAGACAAGTGAAGTCAATCCCCAGATCAACGTTTTGCCAAAAACGGTTATACTATCGTTCATGTCCTGGCCCAACAATCTACTCCTTAATCGAAGTTATGATGACCAAGATGATGAGGAAACCGGCATGGTCGCAGTCTTCTTTCGATTTATAGAAGTGGGTTGACTTCTTTGTCGCAATTTGGTCTTGTTGTCCGGGACACTTAGTAGAACGCACCAAGTCCGAAGTCGTATGTCATAGTAGTTGTCATGATTCCCAGTATCACAGTAGACTTGGTACATTCTTAAGCGTTTAACTGGCATCATCAGTGAATGCTGCCATTCTCCGCACCAAGCTATGCACTCGTCAGAGACAAAGGAAATCATTGCCGGTTAATATCCTAGTCAATTTGTCCAAATCCTCATCATCCCCAGGATTCTTCAATCGTTAAGCGTATGATTTGGGTGACTATGCTCCTCATTATTCATATCTTTAGCCTGTAACTGTAATAGGACCGGAAATTGAGTATTATCCCAGCATAGGACTTCTTTCTGAACAATTTCTTTGTGAGCATCCCATTACGGCGAATCACTTCAACGCCTAGGAACGGTAACGACTCACCTTCCTCTACTTCCATCGTGTATTCAATTTATTTATCTGGTTTATAAAATTCAGAAATACAGGAGTGATAGTGTAACCGTTTTCAACAGAACGTTGGTCGAAAGATTGACTTCACTTGCCTCTGACGAATTTGTCTTGGTGCGAAACCAATGTTGATGCTGACTACGATGCCAGCGAAACGTCTGAGAATGTACCAAGTCCATTGTCCGATGCTGGGAATTATGATAACTAATATGGCAGAGGACTTCAGAAAAGGTGCGTCCTACTAAGTATTCCGGACAACAAAACCAAGTTGCGACGACGTCACCCCACTTCCACAAAATGAAAGGAGTAGAGGCCACACCATCTTGGTCTTCATATCTACGATTAAACTACGATAGTTAAATTTCCAGACGATGCACTGAATACAACCGAACAAAGAAGACAATTGTAAGTCAATTTCACCATCTGACCTTATTAAGCTGTTGTAGACGTTATTGTATCACTCCTAAGTTCTTTGACCTTAAGAGACCCTAACACTTGGATAAGGTTAATGACTATTTCCACTAGGCTTTTATTCAAAAACTAAGTGATATTTATATCACAGAGATGAATAAATGGCATGACGATAAATTACGTAAGTTTGGGATTATAAGACAGCCTAAGTTAAATCCAGTACGCCCAGCTGAAGTGACTCCCGAGGTAACACACCTACTGATCAGCACGGCGATCGGAAGTATTAGACTTATCATCAATTCCTCTCAATCCCGAAACAACTGCGTTCCTGGACAAAGGACTCCATTTTTGAATTCAACATAACAGAAGTCTTCTATCGGACATCCTGATGAAGGATATCAATAGCTCCGACACGTTCACTG